AGCAATAAAATGGTGGTATGGGTATTGGCGAGTACCAACCAATAGGGCATTGATACCATTTTGACAGCCAAAACATTCTTCAACTATTGTCACCCATTCCAGGTAGGCAATAAAAAGTTCTACTGGATTCATTCTTTGTTTTAGTCTTTTTCCTGCTTCACAAAGGAAGGCAGCAGCTGGACATGAAGCCATGATGGCGATTATTTTACATCCAAGTAGTCTGCAGTTCTTCAGATATACACATCAATTTCAAACAGATGGTATCGGCTGATACTCTACAGACAGGTATCGGGGCCAAAAAATGGCATCAGTGCAACACTACTAATTTGTAGTTAGTGATCAGTCGTTACTATATTTTAATTTGGCAAACCGGATCTTCTCTCTGTTCCATCTCCTGTTTGGTGCGATTGCAAATCTCCTGACCTTGCCGGAGCAGAGCAAAAAATAGCTCTGCTCTTTATTTTGACGGTGAAGGACGCTGAAGATGTACGTGCACATTTACGTGCGATTGTGGAACAGTTCTCATTGGTTAATCTGACAGACAATTACTCCACACGACGTACGTCGGGGTGGAGACGGAGGATATGGAATCTGGGGTATGAATCAACAGCAGCGCCCTCTACTGGACAGATTCCAGATTCCTTCTAAGTGGACATTATCAATATATCAATCAGATGGAAACAGTTTTAATCCCATAAACCAATTATCAGCAATTCATCGTAAACCAATAAGTTGTTTATATCCCTTATGCAAATAATCAAGATATCGATTAGCTTTAGCAAAAATATGCAGACTTTAATTGTCTTGAGCATAGATACATGCTAGATTAGCATCGTATCCTGACATAAGGTTTTGGAATCAGTTACGGCTGCAACTAACATTTATTTTTCAAATCGATTAATCTATCGATTATTTTTTTTTCCATTCATTGATCAATAATCGGATAGCCAAATGTTTCTCAAAGAAGATTTCTTACGAGTTATAAACCAGGTAAAAATACTAAAACTTTTCCACTTGAGGAGTTCTGGATTGAGCGGTATGTATTAAATTTAATATGAGAAAAAATATATCTTCTTTGGCTCAATATATTATATGGCTGGAACGATTATTTATCAATTAATCTGTCGATTATTTTTCTTCTGATTAATAATCAGATAGCCTAAGTTTCCTTAAAGAACTCTTTTTATGAAAGTTCACCAGGAGAAGTTCACCCAACCTGATTTAAAACATTTAAAATTACCGCATGTTTTCACTTGCACCTCTTCTCCTGTTAATACGGTAAAGCCCTGCGGAGCGAAATAACAAACCATCAGTTCAGGTGTTTGAGAAAATATGGGAATCAGGAAATTATCTAAAAATCAAACTGAACGATTGTTGTTCTCTACTTCAAAAACAATTTGAAAATGAAAAATGAAAAAAATTTCTATTTTTTAATATTATTTATTTAAAAATTCAATGTATAACATGGACGCATAGAAACCTAATTTTTTACCAGTGTTAAATTCTGTTTAAAGTAACAGATTATAATTAAAAATGTCTCCAGACCTTTACTGGTTGATGATTTTCTTTAGTCAGACCCTGGATGATTATTAATTGGTTAAACCTGATTTAGAGTCTGTATACTCGTGTTAACGAGTAATCGATTACCAAGTTAGATTAGTTCAATAATCGATTAATCACTATTAATCCAATTATTTGTTTTAGCCGTAGTATCAGTACTGTTTACATCTTATCGACATCCAAACTAATATTGTTTCATGATAAACACCTAGTCAATGTAATTGGATAATTACATTTTCCAGGTAAAACCCTTGAAGAAAAGGTTGAGCTTAGTTTCAAGAGCTGCATTGTTAACAGTAATTCAAAGTCGGCGTGTGACCTCTAAAGCTGCGGCATTCAGGAAGTGGTTACTAATCCCGCTTAAGTTGAGGTGAGGGTTTTAAAGATGCGGGTCAGTGGTGACTGACAGCGGCGGTGAAAAGACGGCGCATTGAGGCTGGATCAGGTTTAACTGACGCTGGAGAGAAGCCAGAGGGAGGTTGGTTGGTCAGGAGGCCAGTTAACAGGTTTGGCTCCTCCCTCTACTTTCCCTTAAAGAAGCTGCGGTGTGTGGGAATGTGATCGGCTATGGTTGGTTAGTAATATCTAAGACTGAAACAATCAGATTAATCGATTATTGAAATAATCTTCAACTATCAATCATTAACTGGAGTATAGAGACCGTAAAACCTGCCTTTAGCTGACAGAGCGACGCACTTAGAGCAGGAATTAAACCACGATTGTAAAACCAAATGCATAAACAGTTTGCATTTAAGATTTAAAAAAAAACCTTTTCTGTCTATTAATCTGCTCTATCCAGAACTCCTCAAGTGGAAAATCTGTATTTTCACCTGGTGTCATTTCATAAATCTTCAAGGAACCTTTGGCTATCTGATTATTAATCAGTTAATTGGAAGAAGAATCAACAGATTAATCGATTTGCAAAATAATTGTTTGTTGCTGCCCTTCAAATATCTAATCTGTATAGTTGTTGTTTTTTTGTTTGTTTTTATGTTAACCTACAAAAGATCGATGCTATTAGACGACACCCTGGGATTAGTCAAGTATTTCTGATTCCTGGTTGATGGGACAGGTGTTGTGAATGAAACGGAAAGAGCTCCTCTATGTCACTGAATGTGTGCATTGATCATGGGCGGTTCTAGACAGGGGCCAATAGTGACCAGTGCCCCTGTAGATCATGTCCTGGCCCCTATTATGGCTCCTGTACTGAAGACATAAAACTCAAATAAATACTAATGATGATCTGCGCTGGAACAGACATGGTTACTGAGAGCTCCTTTGGATCTATGTAATTGTTTTTCCTTTACAAATTCTGTTTTACTAATTATTTAAATACGATAAGGTGATAGCTTCTGTGGTATCGAGATATGATCCCAGTTTTCATCTACGAAATATTTTCTTCAAAACAAATTACTCTATTTTTTACGGCTGAATTTATCAGTTTTTCTTGAGTTCTAATTCAGAATTTATAGAAAACGGTAATTTTAACTTAAATTAAGTCAAAAATATGGAAAATTCCTAAATTCTGAATGTATATTGACCTAAGACATTTAAAGAAAAGAATTCGAATTAAACCTAATTGAATAGAAATTTCCCTTCATGCAGCTCTATTAATTTTATTTATTTCATGCTTTTCTGTGCCCCCATGGAAAAAACACACTGGCCCCCTCCTGGCCCCCTGGTACATTTGGTATAGAACCACCACTGGCATTTCAATTAGTGGAAAAATATGCAAGAGAATATAAAAAAAAAAGCCTAATCGACCAAAACTTTGGCGATCCCCATGCAGTACCTCTGTGGGCCCCCATAGGGGTCGCTTTATATTCTTTATATCCCCGTTCTAGCACAAGATCTACATCCAGCCATTCAGTAAAGATGCTGTACGTCTTATTTTTCACTAATGAGATGAGCCCTTCAATGATATATTACCTATTCTAAACTAAGTTGGAAAAAAGTAAAAAAAATATTGGAAAAGTTAAAAAGTAAAGTTAAAAAGTGAATTAGCCTTTTTTCGTAAGCTAAATAAATGCATAATTTTTTATCGGAAAAAAAAAAAAAAAAAAATTAGCCTAAATAACAGTTATATTTAGATTTATAAACTAAACAATGTCAGTACCAGTATCATCATTAATGCCTCTAAGGTTGTGTTGGACACAGTTTCTTATAGAAGCTCTTTTAGTTTTTTCTTAATATATTCGGGCAAGTTGCCGTTTCTTGTTATTAAATTGACATTCATTTTTGCCATCAAAATATCCATAAGTTTTGAATGTTACAAAGGTTATAAGGTCTTGTCCTGGATTCCAATAACACTATTGGCTTAAGATGTAGGAATAACAAACTAAACATTAACAATCGATAACAGATGGAGGGAGAGGCAATCATCTGCTTAATGTGATCTTAAGACATGGCGGCTGAATATACGGAGAAATGGACAAACACGTCTGTAGATAAAAGAAAAAATACTTTAATATCCACTCAGCCGATGTATCGTCTACCTTTAATACGTAATGATTATTTTAGCGTTTATAACTGACTGACTTTCTGGGTTTTATGTGGTTTTATATGTATATTAAATATTTTTAATGTTACATCTGAGGAATTTTATTTAAAAAGAAAAACAAAGAAAAAAAGTCAAAATAATAAACTTTGTACAAGATTTTTTTTTGTGCGTTCTTGGCAGTTTTTCATATCAACTGAAAGGAAACATGCTGCGTTTTGGCCTTGAGCAAGGAGAGAATTCACAGCACATCTCAGGGGACTTTACAGAGATAATTCAACCAGATCATCCAGTCAGATCGGTTCAAAGTTTTCTATCTAAGGAAAACCAGCTGATTGCATCGACTCATTGACTCTTCAGCAATCCCCCACCCCAGCCTCTAATGCCTCTAAGATCAGCCACAGCCTTGAGAAAATTCAAGGGC